TGTCCACGGGGCACAACCACAGTCATTTGATCGGCAGGGTTCGTGCAGTGGGGTACAGCACAGTTAGTTGATTGCCAGGTTGCTTGTGGTGGGATAAAGTGTGGGTACTCCCACCTCTTCCAAGACATCTGGCCAGTGTGGAAGAGTAGGCCAAACACCCTCTCGAGGGGATCTCTTGAGCTGCCTCCAGTGGAGGCCCTTCCAGTAGTGGTGTGAGCAAGCAATTGCAAGGGCTTCATATGTACTTTTACTTTACCAATGTAATACTATGTATATAAACAAAGTTAATTAAATGCTTTATGATTATTTCTGCTGTCTCACAGATGAGGCAGGCTGGATGAACTTTTAGTGCATAAACAGTAATCAATGCGGCGACCCTGCCTCTCCGCTCATTATCTCATTATTCTCGTCCTAGGGTCAAGGGTTAGCCACATTAGTCAAAATTCATCAATGCAGATCAGAGGCTTTTGTTATTTAAATTGTCATGATTAGCATCATTGCAGGCGGCTGCATTCCTGGCACGCAGCTATTGTTACAACATTACAAGGACAGGTCTTCTCTCTGTTGTGTTTTTTAAAGCGTTTCAAAGACAAATGGATGTTGTTTGTTTTAATATTGTACGACCATTGTTACTAATGGAAACAATTTTCGTAATCCTAATTGAATATTTCTGATAAACGTATGATTTATTGTTTTTACTTTACAGTGGCTTTAATCCTGGTGTTTAATGGTTTGTTGATGAGTGAAGGAAATGGAAAAATAAAAACATTTACAAATTCAGAAATATGCTTTCTAATCGAATGCTGAACCTAAACACGTACATGGAATTTTTTAAACCATAACCGCTTCCAAAAACATGCCTAGTTACGCGAGTTAGAAAGTAAACAAAGCATAAAATTAAGTTAAATATTGACACGTAACTACTCGGTGGTGAGTGGAGTGCATCGAATCCGGTAAACCGAGTTCGATTCCCAACCACGGCTGACAATCAGTGGTTGAGTGACATCTCAACCGGTCTTGGACCCCCCTCAATTCAACTGGCCCACACGAGGGAGGGTAACACAGCCCCCATGGCCAGCACGGCATGGGGGAGGCCTTCATCCAGCAGTGGATTTACAAAGGTCTGTAAAATGTTACAAGTACGTTGATTGCCGACTGCGCGCGCTGTCAGATGACCATGACGACAATGGATGATGAAAGCGACTTCCACATTGTCCAGTTAAACAGCGCAATTTTATCGAAAACAAAGCACTCGACGCGAGCACCCCGTCTTGCCAACTAACGATGTGTGCAGTTTCTACGGCAGATCTCTTGGTTATCGGGCACACTCCGCGCAAGGGCGACTCCCGCTGCGTTGAGTGGACTTGGGGAGGACGGAGTGTTAATAGCCAAACCCGCTTTTTGTACAGCAGCTCACGTGCTGTGGAGGCCCCATGGTTGGGGACATGCATGCGATGGTGCGACGGGTGCGCGCGCGCGTGCGTGCTTGTATGCTCAGTGCCCAGCGGAGGGAAAGGCAGTGGGATTCCTTCCCACCCGGGTTTATGGCGTGTGACTAAGTCCACTGACCCATACCGCAAGAGGAAACACCCTTTTCCTGCTGGCCCTCTCCTGCCCGATTCAATCAGTAAGCAAACACGAGCCCAAGGCCCTCACTCTGCTCCCCGCCACCATGACAAGTCCAAACCGAGACGATTTGTCATTTTTTGGGGGTCTGGGGGAGGAGGCGGAGGGCAGTGTTGAGTTAAGAGGGGAGGGTGCAGAAACGTGGAAAACTGAATATGGATCCACGATTGTTTGTCGCAATTTGGGAATTCGTTTTTTGCGTATTATCGGATAAATTTTTTTGAATGTTTTTTCATCAATTTTCAAATATTCAATTAAGCCAGATGGCTTTCTGGGTGTCTCAAGGTGGCCGGATTTCCCCTACGGATGTTAGGATGTCTCCCCCCCACACCCCACCCCGCCAGTTAACAAAAGGCTACAGCGATCCAATTGAGATATCTGGTCATCCTAAGTGGCTTGACTGTTGCACCGCTATTCCATTAACCCAGGTTTGTATTTTTGTTGGCTTGTGTACAAAAGCGAGACTTTCCGGGTCACATTAGCCTCATTACAACCTGGCTCATCTGGCGATGGGAAAGAAATGAAGAAATCCTAGGCGACTACCACATAATAACCCATCCATTCATGTGTCAGATAAAAAAAAATTCACACCATCTCCCATGATCTTGCAGGACTAGTATTGGTAGAAAAGGGAAAAAAAAGCAAGAGACAAAAAACAATTCGTTTGGGCAGTTTCAATGAACCAAACAACCTCAGAGTCCTAATTTCAAAATCATGCTCACATATATGGGGTCTCAATTTAAAGGTAATTTTCTATTGTTTTTAAAACATATGGCTTATTTAGATACTCATCCCATGGTTTGGCACATACATGAAGCTGCATGCACCAAAACCACCATCCCAGCATTGGTGACAATCGGTTTGTGTGAGTACATCCAACACCGTAGTAGTTTTTTGTATTCTACTCATGAAGAAGTAGAACAATTATTTATATCTGAAAATGTACGTCTGATCTCGCTAAACTGCCCCTAATGTGGACATTTAAAACAGTACACATGGCTTTCGTATTGGCCAACAGGCAGGGTGTAAGGCTGGGTAAGTGTAGCCCATGCCAACACAAACGTGCACAATCCTGCCTAAGTACAAGGTATATGAAGCAACCAATCACACTTGTATTTAACTCTGGATTCTGTCCAACAGTGACTTAGGGGAAATGCATGTGAATTGTTAGATGATGTAAGAGCATAGCACATTTCATGTGCAATCAAACAACACACAGAGAGACGGGTGTACTGATTTAAAAAGCAGTAACATAAATAATTTACAAAACATTCTTCTGTGAAAACAATAAAGGTTGAAATTTTTTATCCAATAACTAATAGGGGTGTAAATATTTACCTGGCTTAGGAGTCAATTCATTGTTTTTATTCAGAGTTATTTTGGGTCATGATTTCGTTAAAGAGTTAATTATATAAACTTTTTTCAAAAATATGGTGAATATAGCAACCTATAGTGGCTGCAGGGGGTCGTGTGAACTTATTACACAACATGAAATCGATACCTATAATACATCGATATAATGCATCGATATGATGCATTATCTTCTTGGTTCTTTCGGTAAAGTCACGTAGAAGGGAATTAATAAAATAATAAAAATAAAACATAATAAAACATGTTTTATTTTTATTATTAAAATAAAACATAATAAAACATGTTTTATTTTTATTATTTTATTACTTCCCTTCTACGTGACTTTATCGAAAGAACCAAGAAGATGAATCCCTGCAGTCACGAAAGCTTTAAATCGAAAAATGATGCATTATATTGAACGTAATCAATATTAGTTGATAATTTGATCAATTGTCAACCCACTACGTGAGTATAAAATGTAAATATATATTTTTATAAATTCGCTCTCAACAACATCAGATAAATCTGCACTCAAGACTCACTCCTTATCATCATAAGTATATTTTTAATACTCATGATATTTTTTATCTTATTATTTGTGCACGGGCACTTTGATCATTTTGCGAATTCCACTTTTTAGACATAAATATTGATTGATTGAATACGCGGTAACTGTGCTCAGAAAAATAATATATTTGATTGTAATTGACACAGGGTTAGGTTTGCTTTGGGCTAAAGGTTAATTGTCTGAATGGTTGAAAGCAGAGCTGTGGCTGACGTTGTTTTCAGTTCACGTTTCCGCTAGTTTTTCTCGGATGCACTGTGATCGCAAATGTCTTCTGCGAAAGGTGCAGCATGCAAACATTGTCGCTTCTGCAGCCAGCAAGCTTGGGATAATATGCACGCAGAGCGCTAGCCGTTTGAACTCATTTCGTACGGATATATTTACGTACATTTTTATTTTATTTTACAAAGTTGCGTTTAAAAGTCTTAATCTGTTGTTGGTGAAAAAGATCGCGTTCGCCATCGTCTCCCAGAGTGGCATGTTGAACTCATTGCAGATGATCTAACGTGCGTGTTTTTAAGCGGCAAAGAATGTTTGACCTTAGGGTTAAAAGGTCAAATATTTAAGAGAACACAATGTCAAAAAGAGAAGTTATCGCCACACGTTTTGGCTTTTAACTTATCTCTCCGATCACATCCGCTCAGCCATAGGAAACCTTTTATGTCCCCATTAATGCAGTTAATGTCAAGGGTAATTGTGTTATATAAACACAAATAAATGTATAACCAGTTATAAGTGTATTTGGAATTTTAATTCCAAAGATTGCTTTTGTGTTTGGTAGTTCTTTTATATTTACGGCAAAAGGGTTGATTGCATTGGCTTGGCAAATGCATCCGAAAGTAGGTAATTCTCATAGATAGGAAAAATATATTAATCTGATCTAAAAACCTATTAAAGTAATGTATTATGGATATATGGTATAAAAACTACTCTTATTTAATTTTGTATGTATTTCAAAGCAAATCAAAACTTGCATACGCAGGTATTTTCAAGTCACAAATGTTCAGAATAAATACTTTGAATTTACAACTTAATTTTGTATCATTTGTATATTGATCTTGTGGGATATTCTATCTATTGTTTATGTTACGTGAATACCTATGTTCATATTTTGTTAAATATATTTTCAGTGTTTGCTATGTCAGATTTATGTCTTATGAACTTTTGTTGATGACTACATCTTAATAGTTTTATTATAATAATATACGCCTGGCCAACATATATCTAAAAGGACAGGCTCCGCATACCTAAAGCTTATTTGAGCCTTAATTGGTTTCTAGCAATGACTAAGAGGAAATTATAAACACCAACTTCAACTATATTTTTTTGAACGTGACCTCCATTACATGTATAAAATAGGCACATCGTCATGGTTATAAAAAGAAAGTATCCATTTATTGCAATACATGCAAGCCTATGATTTTTTCTCTAAATATTTCTGTGATTTAATTTGCGTTTGTATTCCACAGCTTGTGCGCACACATTAGATTACACAATGCGGCTGCTGTTCCCGCTAAATGTACACAATACAAATAGTTTTCGACAAACATTATACTTGTAAATAAAACAATCTGCGTTTGTGATTAACACAACGAGTGTAATTTATTTTACATACACGTGTCTGTTTTAAACATATTCAATGTAATATTTATAAGGTTTTCGTTTATCTGGTTTGCTATCGCATACAGTACTTTTGCACTGAAATGGATTACATTTCATCATTTGTACAAACGACAGTAGCACATTCTGGGATTCTCTGTGAAAGTCGGTTTGGTATATATTGAAAACCTGATGTGCACGTTATTTGCAATCATAGGTTTAATAAACCAGTTAAACAATTTTGCATCCAGTCCGATGAGACACTACAGAGAGAAAACGAGTAGATTAGTTACCTCTGTTTTAGACAAAGATTCGTATGTTGAACTTCTTTCGCACTGTATGAAGGCAACCTTGCTAATTAGAGTTGCCAACCGTGCGAAACAGAGTAACGTTAATCTCTCTCTGTGTGCCCTATCTTCTCTCCAAGACATCAGCGATCATGAGTTTCCATTTAGTTCTGTCCATGCTGTTTACCCAAGAACTTTGCATTGGATACCCCCAGCTGCATCCATATGCTCAACTTGCTTGTGCATTTCATTTGCTGTCTTCCCCGACTTTGTGTACCTATAAGTTTTCAAGACAAAACATTATATTCAATCTCTTGTTTTCCCAACCAATGCCCAAGAAATCAAACTTGCCTTTCTCTAATTATTCCTGCAAATGTTCTATTTTTAACAGCTGTGATGTCGTCATTGTCACCACCATCTGACCGAATCACAAACAAACAATGAACTCCATCACCTGGATTACATCGAGGTGTATGCGTTCATCTTTTCTTGTAGTTAACTGATTTTTGTGGTTCGTGTTGTAGATACTTTACGTTTTAAATGCAAAGTAACCATGTGACTAAGGGATAAGGTTCTTACACAATGGTTAAAAAGAGGAAAATAAGGTGAGTGTATAATGGTTGAGTGACTACACGGTCTTGATTAAGCTTGGTGTTTTGTGAAGATAGTGGAGATTATACACTCCAGACTATCGCAACTGTTTTATTCACGGAATTTTTTTTTTATTCTTCAACAAAAATGTGTGCTCGAATGCTTCAAATAAAGATTCAGATTTTAAGACAGCTGTTTCGTAGTGGGATTGTTGTAGATGTGTTGCATTGGATTGTAAAATCAAGCAATACATTTTAATTTGTTGATGCCTAAGCAGAATTTTATTAAATGTTTAAAGGTCCAAATACAGTCTGATAACTTATTTTGTAAAAATTTTTCTGGAGTGTGGAAGAGACACGACATGGGGGGGCCTTCATCAAGCAGTGGATTGACAAAGGGCTGCAAATAAAACAAACTAACAGAGGGTTCGATCTGCCGCCACTGAAATGTCGAGGGTTGCAGTCTCAGTCCTGGTTGACAAGATTAGAACATTCAACGCCGAGCTGAAGGTTCTACAGGAGAACGTCACATTGTTATTGGGAGTGGAACAGCTGCAATTCGTCGATTAAGGTAGATTATTATCAATTATTAATCCCACGATATGTGCATCGAATTGTACGTATGTTGACATTCTTTCGCACCGTTACGTAGCCTAACCGTGCTGATGGGAAGTGCGGAGGAAGGTCAACTCAACACAAAAGCAGGTCTCAAGGAATGAGCTTACAATCTGGATTCTAATATGTAAAAGAATTGTACTTGTGTGTGTGTGCTATTTACCTGCCACTTTCTATTACTTTTGGATTCAGGACTTCTGCAAGCCTCTTATAATTTTGTTGATGGACAAATGGACAGACAAACGGAACGCAATAGCTTAGTACTTGTGTATGTATATGTTATGGTTTTAAGATAAGTTTCGAAATATATTTTTCCCCTGGGCAACGCCGGATACTTCCCGCTAGTATATATATGATAAGTGATGTCGTTCGAATCGCATACGTTGTAAGTAATTGGTTCAAGTCTCCTCTGCAACCACCATTCAGTGGCATGCCTATAATCGTGACGCTACATCGTGGCAATTAATCAAATCACCATGGGGAGTGAGCGTTGCAATTTATTCCACTCAATTGTTATAAATATTTGTGATTACTTAGTAATGGAAACTTTCAGGGGGTTTTGTGTTATCTCATTGATCACATTTCTTTCACTTGAGTTTTTTTGTGTGGTGGTGGTGGCGGGGGTAGTGGTGTTTTTCTCACTTTTATCGCCTTGTATGGGTCAACGGTGGCTGGGTATCAACACACTGTCCGCACGCTCGTAATGTTTCAGCGCATTGTACGGAAAACTGTTATGATGATGCCTCCAAAAAAGAAAATCTGCCCAAGAGGCATTCGGCCAAGCGTCCGTATCCAGGTGCGTTTCATTATGCGTGCCGTTTGTGTGTGCAAAGCAGATGAGTGTCTCTGTCCGAGCCATTCCACCCAAGCCTGCCCTCCCGACCTTTCTCAGGCCACTGGCAAGGAACAAAAAAAATATCCAGCAGGAGACTGAGCAGATCTACGACTGGGGGGGGGGAGTTGTTTGTTTGATGGCATCGGTAAATACAGAGCCATCAATAATCGGGCTCTCTAATGCACTTTTCAAGGCATTGCTGGCAGATTTATGCAAAAAGTCTGGTCTTTTCTGCCGGCCGCTGTTGCCCTCGTCCTTTCAAAACCTTTGAAAGCTTGGGAGGTAGCGGAGGCAGATAATGACCTAAAAGGATCAGATTTCTTCAGCAGATGGCTTAGGGTTAAATTTGCAGTTATCAAGTGTCTTGGACATATATATTTTTATGCACTGACTGTATATGCCTGTAATGTATGTAATGTGTCAATGGCATGGAATGGCAATATTTAAATTGCATACAAACAATTGCATGTCAGAAAATCATATTTCACATTCGCATGTTTTTTACATATCACCAAATTTGCTAACGCTTAAACTTTTTTTCTATCTGAGCGGTACCATCACATCGCTTGACGCATCTGCGATTAAAATACGTTTTTTTAATTGTTGTGCGTGCGCGTGTGTGCGTGTTGCCTGCATTGGTATCTGATCACATGCAAGCTGCTAGTTACGCAAAGCAAGTTGAAATACTTTCAGAGGTCAAGACACAGAAAATTCTCTTGAGCAGCTCAGGCCGAGGAGATGAGTCGGGACAGAGAGCAGACAGGCTGGGCGCAGAGCTCGTCCTGGCGTCACTGGCACTACGCAAGCGCTTCATATTCATTGAATAATAAATAGCGCTGGGCACGGTGGCACCCAGACGGTGAGGCAGCGATGGACCCCGGCGGAGCCGGAGACGAGGCGATGTCCAGGGGGAGAAGACAGCCCCCCCCGCCCCGGGGTCGATAAACTTGCAGCCAAGGGGAAACTTGGGGCTGCTATCGACTAACGAGTCACGGCACGCCTTTAATGGCAAGGCACGTGTGTGTATAAATACAATCGTACGTCACGAGCGATATTGATACTTGGGTGTAATTCAGCTATCTTTTTGATGATATGTTGGGAGGAAGCTGAACAAAAAAAAGTGGAGTTTGCTGTTGATATGGGAGCGTCGCACGCAGGTGAGCTGCAAGTACTCATCAACCCGTTCTGAGTATGCATTACCGATGGTGCAGTGTTAGCCGCCGCCAGCGCGCGCAAAAAAGAGAGTTTTATTAATTCCAAAAAAAAAAAGAAGAGGCATTTACAACAGGATGTGCGTCCTGTCCTGTCCTGTGGTTATAGAGCCTATTAATTTGTAGTGGCAGGATGCAGCACAGTTTGACTACGCTGTCATAATCATGTGCAACGTTCGTGCCTAAAATTAACCATTCATTTGAAATAAACAGCGTGTTGGCAACATCAAGAAAGCACCGTAGACGAGATCTGAACAAGTGGGCTTCACGTGAGTAACGCGACGGAGAGCAAGTCAGTGGTTTGCGCTGTGCCATGAAACCCAGAAACCCGAGTTTGATTCCCAGCTACATCTAACACGATCGGCTAGTAAAATCGCGAATGGCCATGGGCCCTCCTCTTCACCAATCTGCACTGACCAGAGTGGCAATAAAGTATGGTCAAACAACACCCAAAGATTTACAAGCCACGTGGAGATTTTCATCCAGCAGTGGATTGGCGAAGGGCTGCACATGATTGTTTTATGATATGAGAAATGGACAATGTGGTACTTTGCAGCAGAGCACAACGATATTTTGTCCAACATAGCAATTTCAATCACTTTAATATATTTTTTAAACAGCCTTAATATAATTAGCTGCACATTCGAATGTGTTTGCATGGTGACCATAACAAAATGGAATCAGCAGAAATTAATGAGATGCAAAACCATTTAAGTGACGCGTTTTTGTTTAAACCCACTGAGTACGTATAATTCAATTAGTACGACGTGCCCAACACTAACCTGGCACAAAAGTGGTCTGTGTCAGCCTTTTTATATCTTATGACGTCAAAAGTGTTACCAGCCAGCGTTTGCAGGCACACAAATCCTGAAAGCGTTTCTAATTGTATTCCTCTCTGCTTTTGTGTTAAAATGCAAACGCACAATGCCATTAAATCAAGCGGCATTGTGACCCGCTTTTTTTTGATACCTGTACAAGTGCAAACAATATTTTGACCGAAAATGTAATTTCCTTCACTCAGCAGAGTACAATGTAAGCGATTTTTTTCCCAAGTAAAAAAAGATTAAATATGAAATTTTACAATAATATAAACTTATTTCCCGCCCCCTCCCCTCTCCATTCCTGGCAGTTTTGAAACAAATAACTTGGACTGTGCCTGAGGACCAAATGGCAAAAAGTACACAATACTGAATTGGGCCTTTTGTCAGAGGGCATGCGGAGATGAATGGTATGCTTCTCAAGCAGCATCTGAATAGAATGCCTACATCAGCTTGGCCTGCATGGCTGGGAATATGCCTTCACAAACCCTGGAATAACAAATGTGCACCGAACAGTGGCATGGTTGATGCAGTCAGTCAAGAATCCAAAATGGTTTCACTGAATTACATTTCTTTTCGCGGTCTCTGGGAAGCAGAGCCGTCTTTGTTTCTCCTGGAGGCGGCTAACAATGGCGTGAAAAGTTATCCCTCGACTGCAGAACGCCAAAGAGGTCATATTATTCGCCACTCGCGAAGCAGGCTCCCAATTTTATTTGCGCGTAGACCGCGGAACACTGCACACTCTACGTGGGAGACAAGAAAAAAGTCCGTTTATGAAACTTAAATATACAGCGATAAAACATTTCGCGAATCGAATTCTGCCACACGTTTTGTTATTAAAAAAAACGTGGAAGTTTGCCAATGAGCACATTGCAAAACTTGATTTACATCCGTGAAAAAAAATGTTTTCGCTTTGTGTATTTGCACAATGGTTCGTTTTTTTTACACGTATGATTACACGTCTGCGATTGTTCCTTTCATCGTTGTGTTGCTGTTGTTGTTGCAACGCCTTGTGCCAGCTACAGATGCTTGCAATAAAATGCTTCCACAGCCAAAGAGGCTTCCAGGGACTTTCCCTACAGACACGGGTAGACGCCGGTAAACACAGGGGACGGACTGTCAGCCACAAGACAACGACGCTGTAAAGTGTAACCCGAACAGCGGTACGCCACGGCGTTTCTGTTTTGTTTGCAATTAATACTTTGAAATAAAACAGAGGTCTCTCTTTGTGCATTGCCCGAGATTGCCATCATTGTGCATATCCACTTAACCCTCCCCCCCCTCTCCACCCGCACCGAGCAGGTAGGCCAGGATGCTCCTGCTTTTCAATGACTCTTTGGAAATCCTCCAGAGGACCCATTACTGTAATGAAGCTTCTGATTTTCAGTGAATTGCGTACGTGCACAGGTGGGAGCTATAGACGGCTACACGCTTTAAATAGGATGGCAGATAATAGAGGATATGAAATCATAATGCGAGAGGGAGGGCTTTGTGTGGGGTTTTTTTGTCTTTTCGTCCGTCACCACCCACAAATCCATTTTACAAATGGACAAAGTAGGTTGCAAATACCACGTTCGCAGGGTGAGTGTTGATTGATGGAATATTGTTTTTATAAGCATGTTACATGCTTATTTATATTTGGCACTGAAATCTCAATAATTATAATGTTCAGGTAGATGGATGGCGTAGTGGTTAGGCCATTGTGTTCGTGAACCAGGTGGTCTGAGTGGTTTTTTTACGTTTCCATTTCTTGGGTTTTGGAGCCAGGCTGGGCCAGGATTGGACACGGACACAACTCCTCCACTTTTCACCCAGGCAACCAGAGGGCACAGACTCCAATACTCCTTGACTCACCACTCGAACAACAAACAATTACAGATATTTGAGAATGCACAATTTCAAAACAAACATTAGATATACACTTCCCAATAATGTTAACTGAAATAACATCGTTTAAAACTTTAAATACTTAATTCATTTTTTATTCCCAGCCACGGTGATTGACACCACCACATTTAGATATCATTTCTGTTAGCTGTGACTGGGGATTGAACTCGGGTCGCTTGGTGCAGTGACGCTAACCACTGCACCATGCCGCTGTCCAATGAAATCTTAAAAGGATGAGAGATTCGTTCAAAATAAGAATAAAAAAGGACTGCTACAGTTTTCATAACCCATTCTGGATTAAGTGATTACATGAATTGAACACCTGCTCATGTGTTACAGGGGATACTGATGGGGTGGGCATAGGTTGTTGTTTTCAGAAAGAGGCTCGTTGACAAAGTGCCAAAGCCTGCCCCTTATCTCTAATGCCTTATTCGCAACCGTAAGCACTGGATGTTGCCAACATTTCTTTTTTTACATGATTGTAGAACATTATGCACTGGTCACATTTTGTCCATTCTCAGTGTGTGTGTGCGAGCGCGCTGCGCTACGAACCCAGAAACCCGGTTCGATTCCCGCTCACGGCCAACACCAGTGACGATTATCTGAGCCGATCCTGGTCCTCCCCTAGGTCGACTCAGTCTTAAATGAGTCCCTGGTGCGATGTATAAACATCGCCACGTGGGAGACAAAGGTGGTCGGGGCATGGTGCTGGCCACCCACTCTCTCGTGTGCCATCCCGGCCTTCATAGGTGCTCGCTATTCGCACTTGCCCAAACATTCTGTAAAAGGCTATACAGGGGATCTCTGTCTTTATATGATATATCATAATTGTAACATAGCCTGATTGACATTGACTGTTGAGAAAAGTAAGTGGGCTTGGGCAAAACCCTTGACGAGAAGAGATATGAGGGCCGGTGGTCGAGACGAGTGGGGGAGAGAACATCAACTGAAAGGACTGAGCGATGAAATCCACTCGTGTGTCGGTGCCAGCCGGGTTCATGCATCGTGATATCACGAGACGATGCCGACGGTTCAAGGAGGCCTTCATCCAGCAGTGGATGGATCGTGGCTCATGATAATAATTGCAGTTAAAAACATTGTGGTGCTTGATTTTTCGCATCAAACCAGCTCGGTATGTCTCGGCAGTTTGCAGTCCACAGCGCTGAGCTCTTACCGCATTTATTTTCGTTAACAACTTTCCGTATTAGCGCCTAAGTCGTTCGCAGAATATTAGAACAGTTTATATTGTTTTTGGTCCTGAGCGCCAGAGAGAGGGTAAGAGACAGCATTCAGAGGAGCAGAAATTATTTACTTTTAACATTCCTGGCCAAAGCGTCAGCTGCGTGTTGATCTGCGTGGATTAACCTGCCCCACAGATGCAGGGTGACCTGCTGCCCGTGCCACATTAGCATCGTGCAATAATTAAATATCGTGTCCGCAACAACAAAAAACCCAACGAACTGAAAGGTGTGCCAGGCTGCCCACATCACGGCGACAAACCCTGCATCTGTATTGTTTGAAGAGTAACTGTCATATTGGCCGTCGCTGGAGACACGCACTGCGGAGATCCATCTTCCGCGCTTCCAGCGGTATTGATTTCGTCCTGACAGCGGCGTTCATGCTTTCTGCATTTCATGCATATTTTAGTGGGAATTAAGCAATGCGGCACCATGAAATGCCATGCAGTCTTCCACACGCAATTACGGTTTTTAATTCGCTTGACAACTGTCTTAAATACGATTAAACTACATTAGCCCATTCCGTGTTTGCCCATTTTTCTCCACCTCCGGGTTTGATGCGAGCCAAACGCGCATTGCGTTCGCCGAGTTAACATCGACGTATAAATGTTAACCGCTGAATAAGGAGCACTACTCGTGTAATAGTACATGGCAGGACTGTAAGAGATGGCAACGACTTCATCTAGCAGTGACTGATGATGAATTGTTTTTTTTTTTATCATATTACTATTGTGGCCGTTAATGTCACAGTATCGCTTTAAATTAATAACATTAGAAATTTTAATAAAAACACAACATTATGGATATTCGTGCAACTGTTTGGGGGCATTTATATTGATTTGCCAGTCATCGTCAATTTCCACTCATTGGGGGTTAGTCCACGTGGCCTGCATTCCGCACGGGTGAACGCCACGGGATGACAGGAGATAAGGCTGCTTTCCGGGAGAGCTCCCAACGCGGCTGCAGTAGCAGGTATTCTGGTAGCAGGTATCCCGGTTAACACTCATGCCGACATTATTCCGATTTCATTACACTTTATCTCATTAAAATTATAATCATTTTAAGCCCTTTGTCAGTGCTCTGATGGATGAAGGCCTCCCCACATTATGTCAGTTGTGGGGGGAGGGGGAGATGACCATACCTCACCATGTGTGCTCAATGAGTGCTGGCGAAGGGAGGGAGTAGACCAGGATCGGTTCTAATATCACTCGCCCACTGATGATGGCTGTGGCTGGGAATCGAACTGAGGTAGTTGGTTTCTTAGCGCAGTTCATCGGCCAATGCACCACCACGCCTCACGAATTACAATGTTAACAAAACTAAAAGATGGCCACAATGGTATTGAAAACTAAAACAATGTTAAGCTGCCTCAAAGGATGGAGGGACATAGCCTGAGTAAACGTCAAAAGAAATCACAATATCTGTCTGCAGATGTTTTTAAATGGTGGTTCTTTGTGTAATAAATGTTTGCATTTCTCCATATTTGGGCTTTCTTTTTCCTGTGATTAAGTAGCATGAGCTATTAAAGATAATAGACTTTTCATTCTGCATCGCCAGTGCATGGTGAAATGTCTTCGCTGGGCAATAAAAATCAAATGTAACACTTAGGCTTCATGGGGCGAGTTATGTTCAGTGTAAACAATGTATAACCCGGCAAAAATTGAAATCATCACCGCAAATTGCTCTAATCAACTTCACGTCGTTTTATTGTAGTGCCGTATCATGAGTTAATATACACTGAATTTTTATTTCTTTACACTTCATAAATTCTCCATTATGGCTATGGCCGTAAGTTGTTTTTTTTTCCCGAGCAAGATGGGGATTCATTAATTTAAAAAGCAAATTTCTTTCCGAAAAAAAACTCATTATAAAACTGCTTTAAGTTTGCTATTAAGCTGCGTTAGTCATTACCGCAGCAATGCACTAGCTGAACTGACAGTCAGAACGCACTTTATTATGCAAACATTTTCCAGTCACCATTTAGACTCCCCCTGTGGCAAAGTAATATTTACCAAGCAAACAAAATAACTCTATTAGTTATTTTCATGGGATACGCTTGAAAATCCAAGAAATGAATTGTAAAAAATATGCTTAGGTGATTTTTGTAACCCCTAGTTTCAAATTAATCTGAGTTTTTTATACCAATAACCTACACTTAGCAAATGCAATGCTATCCTAAATGCATACATCCCGGTGCGTGTAGGTGGAAAACAGTATATTGTGTTTTGCTTGATGTTTTCTACGTAATGTTATAAAATGTACTGTTGCTCTGATATCTTATTCGAGCCTTCAACATTCAACATTCATTAAGGGGGATATCAGCTACAACGTATTCTTTTTTTTAAAGTAAAAAATGGTAAATGTTTATTTTGCATAAAAACGACAGTAAACCAAAAAAATGTGTCTGCAACTTGGATAGATTCCTGTTCGAGTCCTACGTCGTCAGTTTATCATCGCTTTGTTGCGTGTCCAGGCAAAGCCATGAGTTGGTCCATTTGAGGCTTGTTTGGCACAATTAGCGGAGTTTAGTCGCCAACATTACACTGCTTCCCAGGGAGTACACCAGATTTTTCGAAAGCGGCTTGTGACTTCACGGCTGTTTGGGATAATTTTGGCGGGAATGCAGGGACACAATAGGGAGTGTCGTGGGATCTCTAATGGGCTCTCTCCGTTTGCTTCTCAGTGCAACGGCCTGACGCTTGGACAGGTCGCCCGCTCAGAGGAGTCACAAATATGGTATTACAGTCGAAAAGTCATCGGCACCAGATGTTATTCTATTCACAGTTCCCTTATTAAGACACTGGAGACACACTGTTGATTTTGTGTGCGTGTATATATACACACACACCGTAGTGTCGTGGTTAGCTCGGCGTGCTATGAACCTAGCGACCCGAGTTCGATTCACGCTCACCAGTGACTGGTCTTGGGCCTCCTCTAGGGGGACTCAGTCTGAAATGAGTGCCTGGTGCGGTGTGTAAACATCGCCACTAGGGAGACAAAGGCGGCCGGGCATGGTGCTGGCCACCCACCACCTCGTGTGCCGTACCGGCCTTCATAGGTGCTCGCGAACAGCACTTGCTCCTACAGTCTGTTAAGGCTATACGGGATCTTTGTTGTTTACATATATATATACACGTTGGCTCTACTTTCCATCTGCAAATCACATCTTCAAGTAATACCGCATGTTATTCGCATGTTTTTTTAAAAGTAATATATGTAAAGAAAGTACCGCAAAAGGAAATTAATATGTCGAATGATGGCCGTAGATCAATAATGAAAGTTAATATTGGCCCTGAATTCATTAGTCTAAAGATTTAACATTGCTTTCAAAATTATTGTTCTATCAAAAGCAATTATTAAAACAGATTTATCAAGAGGAAACACCACTCGGCAGGCAATATATACTTTTTTCCATCGTCAGTTATTTTCTCTAATCGAAGAAACACATGCCTCTGAAAGTATTGTGTGGGTTAATGGTGTCGTACGCAGGAGTTCAACGGCGATGATTAACGAGTACCTTAATTATGATATGAATCATATCGTATGATTCATGCACTGCTATCAGATGCCGCCGTGGCGTAATGCTTGGCACAACGGACTTGCAATCCAGAGGTCACCAGTTTTATTAGAGCTCATGGCTTGCGAGTTGAAACAATGGGAGCAAGTTTTTTTTTAACCCCTCCCTCACTGCCCACCAATGTATGGGAATACCGTAGTGAATCGGCATTTCG